CCTCCCCTGCCCCTAACCTGGTACATCAGTAGCTCTTTATTCCAGGGTATTTAGTCTAAGCCTGCTTCTTCACCACCTTTTCTGTGTGTAAAATACACTTTACTTCAGTCTTCCTGAATCCAGACTCCTAAAATTCCCCAGGACGCCAACGGCCAGCTCCTTCTCAGAGCCCTTCCTTCTCCCTCAGCTCTGCGCCAGAAACTGCTCACTCAGGGCCCCTCCTGGAGAACCCGCCGATTCATTCCCTCCTATCAGATCTTTGTCCACTTACTTCCTTGCTGGTGCCAGTTGTGCTGTCAGCCCTCTCCCTTTGCACATTTTCCCCAGACTGCCCTCTCCAGCCTCCCTGTGTGCCACATCACTGTCACTGTGACCATGCCCTCTCCGCTGATGTGGAGCTCAGTGTCCTCACCCTCCCCAGTGAAGCAGAGTCTCGTCCTCACAGGCTTTCTCTTGTGATGCTCATCTCTTTTCACTCAGACCACAAGTCCACCCTCACCCTCTCTGGCCTAAAGGTTGTAACACCCTCGCCAGCCTTACAGTGCCATGTAAATGTTCCTGAGTCTCCATTCCTGGGGGCCCTCCGTGTTTTTCAGTAATTTCTTATTGCTGACAGAGGAGTTTCTTATTTCTGCCTAAGGACCATCTTTAGTTTTCTCGAAGCGTTAGTGTGGCCCCTTTTAACTTCATCTCCCCAGGCCTGTTCCTCCCTACGTCCTGCGTCTTCTGTAGCCTTCTCTGCTCCAATCTGCCTTATGTTCCCCAGCTCCCAGGGTTCCTTCATCACCCGCCAGTCATCGTGGCTTCTCCACGAGTGGACACTTTCTCCAAAACTGGAGTTTGTGGGGCTCACTCCTCTGGTAACCTCCTGGTGCTCAATTTAACACACTGTACCAGTCCTGTGCCAAAGCTGTCCTAGCCTCAGATCTTCTGTCCTCAACTTTTGTAAGTGCTTCTGCTTGTCAGACTGTCAGTTGTCATTGATAGTCAGGAAAATAAGGTCGCATGCCTTTAATCATTTGAAAACCACTATCCTGTTTTCTGTCATCCCATGTTTTATAATTGTCTATGTCTTATATTAAAAGTTCGTGTGTTCGTGTGTTTCTGCTCAGAAGCAGGAATTGGGATTTGAGACCATTGTCTGCTCTTTCCCTCCTTTGTAAGCAAAGTAATAAAATTCTCTTTTCTTCTCAAAAAAAAAAAAAGAACATTTATGTATTTATGCCTCACTTCCCCAACGTGGTGAAAAGTTTGGTGCCAGGAGAGACAAGCCTCAGTGCTTACAATTGTGCTTACAATTACCCGGGGTCTGCACTAGTAAGTATTATTCACTTGATTTTCAGCAGAACATGCCATCTGAATGTCTCCTTCATTATCTGCAGTCTTATTCTCTAGTACCTGTGGCATGACCAGCTGCATGTGAAAACGAGAAGACATGAAATATAAACCAAGATCCTCATTTCTGATGAGTAAAAGGAAGTAGAGATTTGGGAATTCTTCCTGAAGAAAAGCAATGGTGGTAGCAGTGGATACTCAGCCCTTCCCACCTACCCCAGTGGATACTCAGCCCTTCCCACCTACCCCAGTGGATACTCAGCCCTTCCCACCTACATCCAAGAAACAACCGAGCTCTTTACGTGCAGACGCAGACACACATAGACCCAAGGGCTGTAGTGCAGGGACTGACGTGTGTAGCAGGTGAAGGTTTATGTTCTAGACAACACCAGGTAAGCACGTCTACTTCACACACAGTAAGATGCAGGTTTCATTCTTTGGACATGTTTATCTTTTTGATGGAAATATTGTTATTGGCTTAAAAGAATATGTTGTGTTCTTATAATAATAAAGATACTTTCTTCTTAATAAAGTCTTTCAGAATAAACTGAGTTTTTGTAGATTTTTCAATTAACAAAGTTACTAAAGTTATTAAATTAGTCAAAATAAATACATCATTCTTATAAATTCATACCCCGTTCACCTCCAGTCTATGTCTGGATCACCATAGTGGGATTTGTCAGTCTTTAAAATTAGATGATCCAAAAGTAAGATACTGAAAACCACTGAATTGTACACTTTACAGGGGTAATTATATCTCAGGAAAGCTATTAGTTAAAAAATAAGATAGCACCTCTCTCCTTTCCACTCTCCCTGTTTCTTTCATCTGTTCTTTTATTCATTCTTGACTGACTTGGCAGCTACTACACATGCCAACCCTGGGGATACAGTGGTAGATGAGGCAGGGCCCACTTGGAGTTTATTGGAGACTCTTAGATTCAGAAGTCCAAATAGAGAATGTGTGGTGTCATAAAAGGGTGGCAGGAAGGCTTCTATTACAGCCTTAGAAGTTGGGGCAGGGGAGTGAATGTCTTCTGAGAGGAAGGGGAAAGGAAAGGAAGTTTCTAGTGTCCTTGGTGGGGAGAATAAGAACATGCCAAGTTCTAGAGGGCAGAGCATGCAAGGTGGATGTTCAGGGACAGGCAGAGGGTGGGCCATGGGGGTTTTAAAATCACACTAGGGAGTCATGTAAAGTTAGTAAGGGTCTCGTGGGTTATAATGTATCCCCAAGGACAGCGAAACCAGGATAGCTTGAAAGGAAGACTCCAAAGTTGGAATCAATTGGGATAACATCTCAGGATAGCCACAGGACAGAGAAGGCTATTGACCACCAGATGGAGCCTGTAAATGTTAAGGAGAGAGGGGAGCAGGGTCCAGAGGCATACAACCAAAAGGAAAAGATGAAGTAAAAACAGGAGTTGGGGAAAGACAAAAAATACATACAGCATATTGGCTTGGTGCTGGTGGCTCAAGCAGCTAAGGCACCAGCCAAATACACCTGAGCTGGCGGGTTCGAATTCAGTGCGGGTCTGCCAAACAACGACGGCTGCAACCAAAAAATAGCTGGGCATTTTGGCAGTAGTCCCAGCTACTTGGGAGGCGGAGGCAGGAGAATTGCTTGAGCCCAGGAGTTGGAGGTTGCTGTGAGCTGTGATGGCACAGCACTCTACCCAGGGCGACAGCTTGAGGCTGTCTCAAACCCCCAGCATATTGCTCATGGCTTTGCACATGTTTTTCCTGTTAACTAAAGCAAGTCAAGATAAACATATCACTCTTACAAGTTCATACCCAGTTGACCTCCAGTCTGTCTGGATCACCACAGAGGTATTTATCAATCTTCAAAAAAAAAAAAAGCAAGCATTAAAACCCCTTTCTCTAAGGCCTGTGGAACGTGTGGCTGAAGACGTGTAAGAGTAAGTCTGGGAAGACGAAGCACTTGCCTTCAAATGGCCAGCTGGGTAAACTGCAGAGGTGGTTAGTCCTCTCCACAGCCTCTCTCACCCCCAGGCCTGGGAAGTTCATTTCTGCACTGTCAGTGAGTGGCTGTACATTCTTCTCAACATTGTTAATGAAAAATTTCAAAGATACAGAAAAGTGTTTCATATGGTAAAAACATGTCTATCACCTATGTTATAGTTGTTAATTTTGCCCTGACTTAAAGTTTCTTCATTTACTTATTTTTAGCAGGATCTTGCTCTGTCACCTGAATAGAATGCAGTGGTGTCATCACAGCTCACAGCAACTTCGAACTCCTGAGTTCAAGTGACCTCTTGCTTCAGCCTCCTGAGTCGCTGGGGACTACAGGTTTGAGGCCACTATGCCTGGCTAATTTTTCCATGTTTTGTCGAGTGGGGAATCTCATTCTTAATCAGGCTGCTCTCAAACTCCTGGCCCCAAACAAGCCTCCCAAAGTACTTGGATTATAGGCCATGAGCCACCACACCTGTTTTAAATATTTCTGCAACTATGCAAAATTGCCCATTTAGTTATATTAGGAAGTTACAAAGTGGTGGTGTTCAGTGCCTTAGAATGATGTCTGTATTTTCCAAACCATCCTTACCCCTCAAAATTGAGATGAAAACAACAAATGTATTTATATGAAAATCCACTTGAAGGTATAAAGGTAACTCATAGGTGCCCACCTTTACTTGAAAAGCACGTGCACTCCAGTCATCCTGGGAACCTGTCACCTCATCACAGTCATGGATGTTATGGTCACACCCTGGTGACACTCTGACAGAGCCCACTGCTGGCTCTTGAGTTGTCAACACAGCCAAGAACTAGAGAAAAAGCCCACATGTGTGGGAGCACAGTGTAGACCAGTTAGGGCACGTGGAAAACAGACAAGGGGCCTTTTGTTAAGAGATTTTCCACCAGTGTTTGAACCAAAATGGGAAGAAAACATCCTAGTGTATAAATGAGCCCAAAAAAGGGGATATTTTTAGATATTTACAAGATAATTAATCAGAAAAGACTTAAAAAAAATTACAGAATGGTTAAAGGATTTGCTTAAGGTCAATACAATGGGTCTGTCTTGGTCCCCTCCCAGTCTCCGAAGGGCCCCAGGGTCTGTCCTAGCCTCTTGTCTGCCAGGTATTGGTGGATCCCACTGGCTTATCTTCCTTTATTGACAAGAGGATAATTTACTGTTCTCCAAATACAGGCAATAGTGAACGAAGGCTTTAACCAAATAGGGAACTGAAATGACCTCACCCAAATTTAAATAATGGTCCTTTGCCTCCCCCTGCAGCAGCTGGGGCAGGAAATGGGCCCTTTCCCCTGTCTTCCCTCAGGGAGGACCTGTGTGCCTCAGTGGAGGGCTGTCGTGTGCCCTCCTGATACCTAACCATAACCTTTCCTTGTGAAATTGGGAGCATATGCTGCAGGGGAAAGTTTTTAGCCCAAGACTAAATTTAAAATAGTCTGTCATTCCTGAGCAGCCAACAGAAAGAACATTAGGAAAGCAAGAGCCCCAGCGTCCAAAGCAGGACTGTATCTGCCCTTAAGTAACACATACACACACGTGCTGTTTGCTTGTTGACGGGTGCCATGTGAAGGGTTTCGACTTGAATTCCCATAGGGGCCCTGGAAGATGCCCACTGACCAAAGTTGAACAAAGCCCATCAGGAAAAGCTGCCTAAGTATGCAGAAGTTTGCATGGTGATGTCCATCATGACACAGGCAGAGCTGGGGGAAGAATTCAGAAGGGCCAGAACCCTGCTGGAGGGTCCTGCAGCTGCTGTGCAAGGGATCACACACTGGGTGGCTTACAATAACATATTCAGTTTCACCACTTCTGGAGGCAAGAAGCCCAATTCAGTTTCACTGGGCCAAAATCAGGATGTCAGAAGCGCCACACTCCCCCTGAGGCTCCAAGGGGAGAGTCCATTCCCTGCCTCTTGCAACTTTTGGTGGCTGCTGCCTTTCTTCGGTTGGTGGCCACATCAATTTCAGTTCCTTCACACCGCATCCTCTAGGTCTGTCAAACTTGCCTCTACCTCTAGGACACTTGTGATGGCATTTGGGACCCACCTGGATAATCCAGAATAATCTATTTCAAGATTTGTAATCACTTCTGCCAAAGCCCTTTTTCTTTTTTTTTTTTTTTGAGACAGGGCCTCAAGCTATCCCCCTGGGCAGAGTGCCGTGGCATTACAGCTCACAGCAACCTCCAACTCCTGGGCTCAAGCGAGTCTCCTGCCTCCGCCTCCCAAGTAGCTGGGACCACAGGCACCCGCCACAACGCCCGGCTATTTTTTGGTTGCAGCCGTCATTGTTGTTTGGCGGGTCCAGGCTGGGGATTCGAACCCGCCACCTTAGGTGTACGTGGCTGGCGCCTTAGCCGGTTGAGCTATAGGCGCCGAGCCGTGCCCTTTTTCCAAATAAGATCATATTTCCAAGTTTCAGAGATTCTATCTCTGGACAGGTTATCTTTAGGAGGTTATTTTCCAGCCTGCCATAAAATTATCTGGCTCCCCCCACTGATTTTGCTCCCTAGTAGAGCAAAACTCTTAAGTGTATCTGTAACTTCATCAAAGTTTCAGGACAACAGATTTCAGGGCAACTCAAGTTCTCACATTGCAGTGAGCCACCCATTTGGGGAACTGTTGGAACAGAAGCTCCACGGTTAAATGTGTGTGAAGGAGATTCCCACACTGTGGAGAGGTGGACTGGACACACTTTTAAAGAAAGCCATTCTAATGCTCCCTGTGTGTTCCAGCTTGTACACATTAGGCAAAGAGACACCAGACAAACACCTGCTGTACAGCTGAGCATAGCATCTAGCTATGGGCCTTAATTTGCACTCAAGGTCAGAACACAACTCCTTAGTGGTCTGCAAACAAACAGGACAATTTGTCCTTCTCACCGTGGGCTGCTTGTGCTGATTTTACAACTGACTCCGTTGTTTCCATCCTGTCTTTGTACTTCCTTTCTCCTGATTTCTAAACCCACATTTCTTAAAACTGCATTTCATTGTGCTGTGTGAATTTTCATAAAGCATCCTTGAATGACTTTGGGAACAAAGGTGGCATATAAATAACATCAGTCCATTTAAAATAAATAAGACATGATCAGGCACGCATGGCACTGGTACTAGACTATGTCTCCTCCTCCATGGGGCTCTTTCTCCAGCAGCAGGAGACAAGTATGACTTCCAGGTCATATGATGGCTCCTTTCAACTTGAACTCTCAGCACGGTGGAAGAGACTTGGTTGAAGTGTACAGGTTACTTACAGTCAAGATGGTCAGTCATCCAGAAGCTTGCCAAGAGAAGTCACATGGTGTATGATGGAAGAGGAGTTGAGTTGAACCTGCTTCCCCTCTTGTTTTTGCCAGAAAAGGACAGGACAAAACCTTTGGGATCAGTCTCATAGAGGACCAGTGAGAGAGCTGCTGGGCATGACATGCTTGTCACTACAGTAAGTTGAGTCTGGACAGCGAGCACCCACCATCATTCTCCTGGCATCGCCATCTAGATGCCTGAGGCACACGTGCTCGGGGACCCGCCAGACAACCGGGCAGGATTACTAGCTAGCCTCCAC